ATGCAGCTTCTTTTGTTATCGATAATTTTTCTATGAAATAATCAACATAAACATATTAAGTAATATTAAAAATTGTTCTTAGCAAATGTACACTGTCGATCAAAAGTTTGGGAGCAATACATCGGTTAAAAGAAAAACTTCCATTTTTTGTAAACAACTTTTATTGAGAAATTTTTATGTATGATAAAAGAGCATGGACATATGTATATCAGTTAAATATAAAGATATATAATTTTTGTTATTTTATTTTATGTATTTATAAGATATATAATTTCTAATTTATGACGTTACAAATCAAGTGTGAGTGTTAAGTTATGTGTATTTGCAAATAATCTCAAGTCTTGTAGTAATTAGACAATGTATTTTTTATTGCAAGCAATAGTAAAAAATTATCTATAACTAGTCGTTGATCTTTACATACATTTTTATTACTGTTATTACAAATTTGAAAAATTTGTTTCTTTGTTTGACATAAATAACAGTTAGAACGTTTGAATCTTTTTTCTTTCGATTCTAAGGAAGGATCGATTGTATTTTCTGATAACAAGAATACTGTACAATTCACCGCTTTGTTGCATGCATTTTCGTATATACTTACATGTGCTCTTATTAATTCCTCATCGATATCTTCTGTAAATAAATTCCGTTTATACCAATTATGCGTATTCCAATTTGAATACGTTTTTGTATGTGAAATATATGCAGCGATGTCACATACATCTAAAAGATTCATAAAAGATGCAAACGGTCATCTATTCGTTGTACTTTTCGTCGAAAAGTTTCGTAGGATTTGATCTATCAGATCAGTACCACCGTTTGTTGCGTCATAAAATGATATCATCTTTGGCTTTCCTCTATTACTAAAATGATTGTTGGAATTTGATATGTACTGGATAAAATTACTGAGTCCTCTCTTTTTTGGTACATACGATGCAGAAGTTAGTTGCTTTGTAAATCCAAAAATAAATCTTTTCAGATCGCTGTTTTTGACTTTATTTATATTTTTACTGTGGTTTGAAAGTATTTAAATTATTACATTGTCATCGATCAGTGTATGAATGTTTATTAATTTCTTCGTATTTTGATAAAGGTTTTATTGTAAATAATGCATATCTCACGTTTTGGCAAGCTTTTCAAATCAGGCGTTCCATATTAGGTGTCGTTACTCTGTAGATGATTGCCTGTCAGAATTTTAATATTTTATTAGGTATTGAAAGCAATAAAATTTGTACACTATAATTTGCGTTGTGTCTGAGAGGGTTAATTAGGGGCTGCTAATATTTGAATGAAAATCACAATAGCATCGAAGAAACATATATTCCCGTAACAAACAATGAATTATGGCACCAGCGAATCTCGTTCGAAGTAATTGTCTATCGTCTCACCCCGCAACACCGCAAGTAAGCATAAAACGTGTCTTGCAAACAAACATCAGATATCAGCTAGCCAACGTTATCTTTCGCTAGACCCGACAACAACGATCCTAACTCAACACTGGGTGTCATGAAACTCAATTGTAAACTCCCGATCGTCAAGGTATGAACGTTACATTGTGGGGCTCGCCATTATTGTCTCCTAAAGGACAAAACTGTAAAGATTAAAATACTACCATTTTCAGAGACCAATGAGTTCTACACCGTAAACATGGCGAAAAACTTGACAAATCGTGGAAGTTCGTTGCAACTCACAATTACACATTTTTCATAAGAAATAATTATTTATGTTTTAGACTGTAACAGTCAGGAATACTATATTCAAAGACTTCAAGTGTAAGCTGTATCTATTAGGAAAATCATTCCTAATCAGGACTAATGGACACGCTTTACACTCGAAAGCTTTGAACACTTATAACAATTATCTTGTTTCGCGCTAATTGTTGTACTTCTAATTATTATTTTCATAGTTTTATAGAAAAAATATTTATCAGCCATGACGGTTTAAATTCACGTGTAAGTATATGCATAGCTGGTAGTTGTTATCAATAATAAGCAAAATGAATGCATATACAAAATGTTCAACTGCATACGCTGAATCACATTGGATGTTACTATTATACAAATGAAAATAAGATGAAAGTCATTAGTGATGAAATTGCGGTAGAAACATCGTTCTTAAATGATTAATAATTGAAAGTCCTCCAATAGCGACGGTTGAGTCGGGATAGTAGGAGTGGTGAACAGTAATGTATCATGCAAGGGACGCTTGTTCTGTACTTGTGGTCTAGTAGACGGTATGTAGCATAGTTTATTAATACTAGCCTTTAGGCTGTGGAATTCGACTTGGTTTATAAGAAGTTAACATAAAACCCATTCACCCATTTACACAGCTACATATCTCTATTTACTTACTATAAGATATACATATAAATAACTAACCGTTTACGATTATGTAAGTATAATAAATATAAATACTTAGTATTCATATTATAGGTTTATATTTATAACATACTGTCCTTATAGCCTTAACCAGTTAATTATTAGTACATTTACCTTACTTACACTTTTAAATTTCTATATCTACATTCAGTCTATTCATGCTTTTACCTGTTCTTTTCCTTATCTCCTTTTTCCTTTCTTCCTTTTACCCTTTATTTTCTTATTTAGTATTGTACAACTAACAATTTCAAACATTTTTCTATTATTCTTTTCCCTAACAATCTCTTCATTGCAAAATTGCCCCTCTCCATTTTTTCAAATACAAATTCATACTGTTGCCAAATGTTAATGTCCATGGCGCACTGCGATTGTCCTGACAGAAGGTACTAATAACTAAATATTCCTTGCCCGTACTTTCAACAGGCAGCGCAGTTTACACACATAGCAAAAGTTCAAGTAAAACTAAAAATATAATTAAATTTAAAAACACTCATCATTTTTTTTAACAAAAATATTCCTCGTAAATTATAATATATGCCCTTAATAAATCATCAAACTAAAAAGATGATAATCAAGTCTTGTACGATAAAATGAAAAACATTGTAAAAAAGATAAAAAAGACCGAACAACGCACAAGTTGTTGGCGAACGGCTCATAGAATAAACTGTAATCACACTTTAGTAGATAGTCCATAACATTTAAAATTTGAATTCAATTAAAATTTCACTTGAAACTTCAATTAAAAAATGTTTAACTTCATTTTATTGTTTACATTTATTTCAAAATATAAATTTACTGAAGTTTTCTATTGCATTATATTATGCCTGCATCACATATTGTGCGCATGAACATTTGTCTACGAAATAATCACAGTGTATAATGTATATTGTGCGTGTGCGTGCGTGTAGACCATTTTTAAGAACTATGCAATTAGTGCATTGAAAACAGCACTTCCTCTCCTTACTCAAGAGCAATAAGGCTCCCATGAATTTCAATTACTGCAAAGTAAATAGATTTAATGTTTCACAACAATTTGAATGTAAGTAGTAGAAAAAAGTTTTATATGGGGCCCCACACCGCAACTTCGAAATAAACGAATGATACGTCACTGTCCACGCTCGTACTGACCTGAATCATGCGCGACACAATTGATGGATGGTCATAATTTAGTTCTTAATTTTCTTCTTATTTTAGGATATAAAGTCACTCCTAAAAAAGATGACCAGACATAATCAAGCACTCTATATAATAAAGTGACATGAAAATGGAATAAAATCTATTATCATTTAATTACATATTGAATAATATGACATGATCCGCGAAAATAAAAATAACTGTTATAAAGGTAAATAATTAAAAAATTTGTACATTACGTTTTACAATAATACAATACATTTTTTACTGCGTTAGTAGTTCCTTTTTTATTTTCAATGTCACATTTTTTTCTTTGAAAGAATAAACTTCAGCGCGCACAATATATTGACCTTAAAAGGATGTTACTAACTAATTAAGGAGCTGCTCCAACAGCTATTTATAACGATATTTCTAGAACGTTGACGATATTTCTTGAAAGTATGACAGAGAATTATTAATTTATTGGCTACAGAGATAGGATATTGATGTTGCCAGATATTATATCTAAATTCCCTTGCTATTACTTCTCTTTCATGAATACATTCTACAGAGTAGACGAGATAAACTGATGCAAGCTGTTTTTTTAAACCTCAATAAATATGGATTTCATTTTCTACTCGATACAATTTACACGGAGAACAGTCCTCGAAAAAATATTTAATACATATTATTTTTACCGATAAATTCAATCATATAAAGCATTCATAACAAATACAATCATTTAATAAACCGGAATATACGATATGTATATTCGGAAATTTCAATTTTTCTCCATGAAACAATAATTATTGTTAAATACATTGTGCTCTCCCATTTCATGCAAGGAGAGTTCTGTCACGCAATCCAAAAGATACCATAAACTTCTACAATGTTCCCAGTAATTATTCTTTGCTATTATCGTCTGTTTTCTCTTTAACAACCAGAAAAGATACCAGAGGTAAAATGTGACCCAGTACTAATCACTACTATAACCCGTTGTAAAGAATAAATACAAGGTCAGTCACGCACTTGGAAACAGGTTATATTTCGAGTTTGATTAAAGATTATAAAAGAAATTGTCACTCAAAGAAATTGAATGATATATGAAGAAATATTTCTTTACGACTTTACTTCTTTTACAAGTGCAACAATGCATTTAACCCTGTTCATTTAAATCTGCCGTTGTCAAGTTAATCGCGTGTTTTTTTCGTCCAAGATAAATTGAATTTGAGAATATTACAGAAATCTTGTTACTAATCCAGGTGGTTTTATTTTTTAAATATTTCAAGTGTATAAATAAATTGAAGAGTACAGCAGAATTAAAAGATTTAGGTGCTCCTTTATTGAACGAAATTACATATACACTTTTTAAGAAATTTACTAGATGTTTTAAAAATTAAATCTTCTAGCATTGTCTGGTAATTAATAAATTTCCTGGGATAAAATATAGTTTCCTGGACAGTCTCATTTGAATATCTGTTCTTGTAATTGCCCTTGGTCGTTAAATACGAAGATAAAGATTATTTTTGACATAAGTAAATCCTTTTGAAAATTCGACCTTGTTTATAACTCTTTGTTGCAAAAAAAAAATTAATATTTATACCATGTTCACATTATACAAATGATAAGGTTCCATAAAGTGACAATAGCTGGCCCACTTCTACCAACCGGAAATATATCTAGTAACTCATACTTCTCTTTAAGAGGAGCTGGTCGTTATTTCGAAAGGGTTTTTTTATCGCAATTTCTGATTCACAAATAACCATCATTTTCACCTTCAGTAACCTAAGATACCCTCCAACGACTATTACAGTTTATTCGGTTGAATTTTCAAAATACTTCATTTCTATGAAAAATTATCATCATTTTCATTCCCAGTAATTTAACCGTTTCGTTCCTGAATATGTATTTTTTTAATATAAATTTTGTGAAAAAAAACTTACGGCTGTACAAATCAACCAAAACACATGTATTGGTAGCTGATTAGCACTTAAGCTGTCAGCCACAAGCGAAACTTCCTGTGTGATACAATTTTCCTTTATCTAGACATTTAATAGCTTTCCGGTAATTTAAAATATTCGTGGTACTTATGTGTACCATTCAAGAGTACAAACCTCGATACAATCTACTTCAGCCGTTTTCTTTTTTCAAACTAAATTGACTTTTTCGCGTTAATACTTCAAGTATCACTATCAATATACTGATTCAAATAAACCAAAAACGATTATCGAACAGTAAAACTCGTCAGAAATATCAGTTTAAACATTAAATAACGTTGATAATCATTTGTATCATTAAAAACAATGATATCAGAGATAGTCAAGTTAATTGAAGCAGACTGTACATTTCATAACAGTAAAGTACCAACGACTCTCTTTATTGTGAACTCTGGAACGTTGTCTCTCTTTGCGCAACAAGAGCCCGTCGCTGCCGGCTCAATCAGAAAGCTCTTAGAAGGTCGTTTCTCCGACGACGGAATCGTAAAGTAACAAAAAGAGTTGCTTCTAAAATTCCGAAGCTTCCCTTATGAGAATGACCCACTTCTATTAGGGCAAGTGGACTTACGTAACCCTGTCCCGCGATCCTTTTGCTCGCGTAGAAGCGTGCTGGGTTCCATTAACGGCATCCGGTGAGGAAATGTCGGAACCTCCTTTGGGAACATGTTGCGACTGCCTTTACCGTATCAGTCCACGTGTGTCCCACTATGGGACCAGTAATCGTGCTCCTTAAACACCAACCGAGACAGAACAGGTACCCTTCCTATACATTAGACGAATACTTGCCTCTATTTCGTTGACTATTTGAAACTTCGCTATAAGGAACCTTTGAACGAATCAAATAAGTTTGGTAGCAAGAAAATGAAGTTAACTTGAGTATTTTGATAGCCATGATAGCTTTGGTAGTCTTGAAGATTTTATTCTCAGCACTTTTGATAGTCTTCAAAATACTTACAGTCAATGTGTTCGGCGTTTACCCCATTTGAAAATAATCATTTTGAAAATTCCTAAGACAGTAATGTGCTACTTCTTTCAGTGTGTATGGATCTGAACTGTTCCAAATTAATTCTTAAATTTATTGCAAGTATGAATATTACAGTAAATTTCTTATATTTCCTTACATTATAAAATATGAATGTTTTAAAAACTAAGTTGTCTGAAATATTTTAAAAATTAGGAGTTTCGATTTTTATAGGTATTTCAAACTGAATAAGTAGGCCTATTGATAATTGTGAATGTTTTACAACTCCTTAAAGTCGTATTAGTAACGAAAGACAAAAAGTTTCGACAAATTTGAAAGGTCTATTTGATAAATATTTAAAAAATAAAGATTCGACAACCGTGACACAGTTTATTATTACTCTCCTGACATTTCAGAACTTACGAGTAACGAATACAATGCCTTTTAGGTTAAACAAACACAAAATGTAGGATAGGTAGGTAAATACTTCTGTCGAGCAAAATATTATATCTGAACAGAAATGAAAACAAATATTCAAATGTTACTATAATTTAAATGAATCAATGCAAATTCACATCTTTTCTAAAACTCTCGAAAGAATATGAATTTGAAAAATATTTTAGTGAAAACGAACTTGCGGAACATTCTCAGATTTCTTGAGTGTCATCGCTTCAGCTCAAGGCGTCTTAAGAATAAAAGAATCCCATTTTTACTTTAGAAGGACGCTTTTGTCGTCCGTGGAAACTTTCCTCCAATGGCTTCTGGGCACAGTGTCCGTTAATTCTTAATGTACAGATTACCACGTGAATCCTTGTTATCTTGACGTCAGAGTCCCTTAAGAATGAACTTCTTGAACTTCTTGAAGGTAACTGCTAACCAGGAAACTTAGAATTAAGTATTATCATTCATTCATCTGGTATTGAAACATTCTGTTTGTCAATAAATGATCGGATTGTAGTTAAATCGAATGATAATATAACTTCCACCATAAACATTCAATAACTAATAACAGTTATATATAATAGTACTACGCGCAAATGATATATCCTGATCCAATATAAATTTAACCCCTTCAGACCTGGCGCACGTTATAATGTACACTGTTTTATTACTTCAATATTCGACAAAAAATTAAAACTGTGACAGATATTTAACTATATATTCACCTTTACTTTAAGTCTATTTATCTCAGAAAAATGTGTACTATATTACCACTATTTTATTCGAAATAAATAAATAATGTCGTTACGGATGTTGTATTGAATGGTTCATTATTGTTAGATAAGTGAACATAATTCTGTACAAAAATAAGGTCTGAAGGAGTTAAAATAGAAAAACAGAGATCAACACTTTTGTATTACAAATGTCCAAATAATAATTCATTTCATCGGACAGTTTTCAAAAATTAAATTTAAACAAAAATTTCTCTACCTTATTGATTATTCTTTATATTTCGCTAATTAATAATTTTTCCATTATGTTCCTTAACATTTATAGCACCGGCTGAAACTTTGGAATCACTCTGTGAATTAATGGAAGAAGAGACATGCTTATTAAATCGACAGATTTAAGTAACTAAAGATATAAAAGATAAGAACTGACAGTTTCAGTAGCTGATACTAAAAATATTAGCCTTGAGCCAGGGGGAACTTTGGCAAGTGTTTCCAAACCTTTAGCCAATAATGTATATTGAATTTTAAGTTTGACTTGCAGATACTCGAGAAAATTAAATTAAAAAATTATAATTAATAAATGAATAACTTTATGTTAACCAATTGATGAACTAATTGATAATTAAAGTAAACATATACAAAAACATAAAATTTGTACTTTGTGATTTGTTAATTAATTTAAATAAATATTCTAACAATGTAATTAATCAAATTGGTTTACTATGCAATAAAAAGAAATCATTTACTGAGACAACAGCAAACATGACAGTTATTTAATTTTGCTGGCTGCATTTACTTTTGTTTATCCTATTTACCTTCACTTGTCCACTCAAAATATTACAATAATATGAATTTTTATTCAAATCAGTAAATATATAGGTATACGACGAAATATAAACTTTATCTTTACTTGTGGGAACATTACACATACATATAATATTCGTTAACCCCTTCAGTGAAAATGACTTCAATGAAACATAATTTTATAATTTATTTTCTAAATGTGCCATATTGTAACCAAAATAATTTTCTTATTTTTGTAAGAAAATTTAATTGAACGTGTAATACTTCAATTTTCTTTAGAATAGTCGTATCCACAAAGTTGCGACAAAATTAAATAACGTAAGCATAAACACGTGAAACGAAATCGTAAGGCAAGTGATTAACATAAAGTTATTTATTATCATGGACTATTACTTTCCGTAACTTTCTTACTGTGAATATTTTCATCCACCACTACAAGTGAACAAAAACCGCAGCGTACTTTCAACCCAATCAAACACAACTCAAGCTACAATTAATTTAACCGCTCGCCATATAATTTATTTCTCAGCTATGATCGATGCAACTACTTTACCATTAATATTTTATTGAAAGAAAAGAAAAATTCTAGGCATATTTTACGTCTATGTTTACTTTGAAGTATAATTTTTGATAACAGAAGAATAATATTTAATTTGAATCCAAAAAAATTGAGTAATATTTTATCCTTGTTAAATTTTTTTTAAAATCATCACTACAACTCTGACATGTTGTTATAAGGCAAAGGATTAATAACAAACGTTTCCTCCTCCATATTCAGAATGTCAATAAGAAAGAAAATTCAATAAAATCTCTCCGTGATAACTAATGTCGGTCCGGCTGATCCTCATTAGTGTACCAGCACAAAAACTTGTTAAGTGAAATCGATTCCACGAAGAACGTTTACCTGTTCACCTGTATCGACCGAATATTACGTGATTACACGGTCAAAAGATTCGCATTAAGCAAAACATATTGCTGCGGGTGAACAGATCGTGTGATGTATGCGTATACAATCAATCGAGCGTTACGCAACTGCATCTGACAGATCGAATACCTTCAATCAATCATTTGGGCCCCGTTCAGAATAGAAAGTAGTTTCATTTTGAATATTAATCATTCTTGAACATCAAAAATATAAAATTGCTTGCACAACAACAACTGAACACCATAAATGACAGTAGAGTATTTCTTCCATTTACCACAAAAAGAATGAAAAAATAAGTAAACGCAATCGTGTGTATTGTTAATGTCTCTTTATATTTAAAATTATTCAGCTATATAAAAATATATATTAAATTTTTCTTGCTTGACTACCTGTAATTATCGAAGATACGATTTCCTCTCCAAAATCTACAAATCACGATGTTCTGGATCTTACAAGTCTAGATCGAGAAAAATTCTTTTGAATGTAATTTGAATCCTCGGTTTATAATAAGGAAATATTGTAATGATACGTACTTGCATAGTTGCTTACTGTTTAGGTGTGGCTACCACGTTGGACCAGTAGGTTCCATACTCCTTCAAAATGGTCCCACTTCAAACAGAAAAACAATAAATTGATAGATACTGTTTAGATAACTTCTTTCTTACTTCACATAATAAGCAAATTTATTATAATAAGTGAAACTCCTTAACTTACATTACATTTTATTAATTTCAAAAATGTAGTGTTTACTCTACATTAATATATATATATATATATATATATATATACTCTACATTACTCTAAAGTTTAATCTACAACTAAAAAAATACATCATTTCTAACAAAAAACAAACCATAATTTATATTTCGTCTTATTCTTAATACCTTCGAATTCGTAATGGCATAATAACGCAGTACATTTCAAAATATAGACAACTGCTGTATTAGGTTGTCACATAAACACATTCGTTGCAAGTATAAACGCATTATCATACGAAGAATTTAATAATGATCAATTGCAAATACGTGTAATTATGTTAATACGTTTGTAATGGAACACCATGACGGACATTATCAGTTCGCGTATAATTTTGTGTAATACGTAAACACACTGTTGATAATTTATTTCCGCTATACGTAGCCTGTGCCCGCAATTCATTTTATAGTATGCAAATAGTAAAGATACATATATACAGGGTATTCCGTTTTAATTTATAAATACAATTACCTCCAAAACTATTCGTTATTTAAGAAATGTCTCATATTAAATTTTTCCTGTTTTGAAAGGTCAATAGCTTGGTACACTTCGTTTGTTTCTAAGTAGAGATATATATAGGGCATATAAAGAACACTATTATTTTCTTAAGTATAATAATGTAATTTTTCATCTACCAAAATGTGTTCATCCATCTACGCCTAAAATCCACCGAAACAGAAAAAATTACAATTAAAATTTATGAATTAAAATAGTACACGTAGCAGAAGTGTATCGAATCGAATAGAGCATATTTTCATTGAATAAATATCTTCTAGAATATCAAATACGGTTTCCTCTTTTCCGTAAAATCCAACATATTACACGACTTATCAGGTTATAACCGAATAATAAGATAAATTTTTCTATTCCCGTTTTTATATGTGTCGGAATACTTCCACGGCCAAATCTATTGCCGAAAAAAATCGCGCTCCTTCACCGTGAATCTGCCCAGTGACTTGTACAGATGCGAAACGAATGAAAATTGAGGGGAAAAAAACGAGGAAACAAATTTAGAGGCAGGCTCGGTTCTCTTTTTGGTCAGTCGTGGGAAAAGTTGTTCGTTCGACGCGATTCAACGCGGTATTCCGAAACCGGAAGGCTTGGCCGTAACCAGAGCAATTCGGTAGGCTCCTTTCAGCTCGGCATGTGAACTTTCTGACCTATAATGTTCTCCGGAAATTCGCTGGCTTATTAGTGAGCTTACAGCGAGCGCGTTGATTCGCGAGCGATCGTGCGGCAGGACCAATTATTTCCACTGACCGGTACAACACAATTAGTCTTATTGGGTTATCCCATCGAAGTAGAAACTCTTCGTTCTTGTTGACAGCGAACGAAAGTTAAATAACTGGATCTTATTAACACGTTGACTGCATTCGACAAGTATAAATGTCATCTTAAAGCTTGAAATGATACTAATTCTTTCAACGATAAATTATTTATTTTTTCAACTAAACATGTGATTCTTCTTTGTTTTTCTTTGGTTTTCCATTAGAGTATAACCCAGGTGCATGCGTTCTACGTTTGATGAATGACACATTTCATTCTTTGATTTCATTGCGCGCAAAACGAGAGATTTTTTAATCTAAATTCCACTCTTAACAGGTTAACACGTTAATTGAAACAGTGCTCACCGATAACCGGACCTTATAAATTATTCGGAAACAATTCCAACAAGGAAATTGATATCGAATAAAAATATTTAGTGACGTAAGTAATCATCCCTTTGTACTCCAGAAGCACCTCTTAGTCGTCAATTGATTTGACTTAACAAAATTGTGAAGTTTCATATTTAATATTAAACTTTGTATGATGCATCAATATGTGAAATATTGAAATGAAATAGTTTTGTTCTTCAAATTATGTGTGATTTCTTGTCAAGTTAATTTTAGAAAATGTCTTCTGTATCTTATTAGAAAATACTGAGTATTTCTAGTTAAAAACTTATGGAAGATAAAGAGTTAGACAATAGTGTAACATATGAATTTTGATACAAGATCATTAGTAATGATTTTTGATATATTCATTTACGTTTGCTATGAAAGATTAGGTAATAGAAACAGGTCAATTTAACCATTTTACGTAAACTGTGCATTTTTTATTGCTTAATATTGTTGAATGAGTGAGGAACAATGTGCTGCAATGTTTTTTTTCTCAATTGTATATTCTAAGTCAGTAAACTTGATCGACAGGCGAAAGATATTATAGCGTGCATTGGATGACACAAGTTTTTGTATAGATATTAAAATGAATTTTCTCGGTGACATAGGGAAGGAACCAAATTTTGTTTGTTGAAATCTATGAGATCCAAGAACGTTGACGGTATCTCCGTCAAGGATAAAAATAAGTGAACAAACTATTTCTACTAAGAAATGGTTATCAACAAAGTTTAATTAAACTAGTACTATTTTATAAAAATCAAAGAATGCACTTTAATTTATTTGTTACATACCTATATCTTTATGATACATAATTATTTATTTAACATTTAAAATTAATATTTACATTTATATAGAAGCAAATTGTGTTCTATATATTAATCGACCTATTAGATTAATCGGTATTAGTATCGACCTATAGATACTTATCATTGCAAATAATTTTAATATTTAATGTTACAGTCCCTGACTAGAACTACTGCCTCTATAAATACGTTGTGATATTTATTAACAGTAAAATTACTACATCGGTTAAAATTACTGTCTCTGGATTTCTTACTTTAGAAACACTCGGTGATTGTACACATTTGTGGCCTCAGTACAATATTTTTACTTTTGCTACTCTGTCATTGATCGACTTATATAATTCATTAAACGCAATTCACTTATACAGAAATGTATTAAATTCAGTTATTGAAATAGTAAATAAATTGATTTGCTCAGAATGTATAAATGATTTTATTATATTTACTATTATTATGTAATTCAGTACTTTTGTGCTTGACTCTATTTCGAAAACGATTCAAAATTATTTAAACGAATGTAATGAAATAAGTTTATACGTTTTAGAGGTGAAATTCAAAGAAAAATAGGAATATATTTTAAATTTTGCATGAAATAACGAAAATACCAGAAAAAGGAGTTCATTTAGTAAAAGCTCGTCGCTTAATCAAACACGTTTTCGAGGCAATGGAAACTTTTCCTAGAGTGGGACTTCCAATTTGACCGCGTTAAAGACTGTATTTATTTTAGGCTGGCCACCAGTAACATTGTCTATGTTGGTGCGTCATTATTTAGAAAGGTGTGGCTGGTAATTGGTTTTCCAACTCAGCTTTGCCTTTGATTACCCTTTTCAATTCTGTAAAGCCTGAGTTAACTTGTATGTAAATACACAAATCTAAATGTTGCATATTTTGAACATAATGTTCCCAACGTGTTGTTATCTTAGTGAATCTGAATGTAATTAAAATGATGTGTGATATACTGTTATATGAAATTAATATAGGTACTTTTTTCAACGATTTTGCATACAAAAGAGAAAATGTAAAAGTTAAGAGATGACTTGATGTCTAGCAGAACAACACAGGGGCAAGTAATGTTTTCTTAATCTGCAGTTACTTGTAACTGTATTAACGAATAATAAATTAATGATTGAAGATATCCTAAATTATAAAATAAAATCAACAGAAAACTGGTTGAAGGAAAATGAAAACTTATCGATCAACCGAATTTCTTAGCCAGAAGTGAACCTTTTTTTTTGGCAAATACATTCAAAATCGGAAGAGTTAAAAAAAGTGTCTCCCTTTCAATCTCGAAGGATTTCATTCTTACCAGAATGAAAAAGTAGCTGTACTTACGTGAAATAAACTCTTCCGTGTGCATTCGGCGGTGCATTCCAAACAAGTGTCGCGTGCTCTTTTACATGTGGATCAGCGTGTGTCACAGCGCTGCATTCTGGATGGGTGCTCGTGTTCTCTGTTTGAGCCCAGGAACCAATCCATTTATCTGTCTCAGGATCACGTGCCTGAATAAAGAATCCTTTGAATGTCGAACCGCTGATGCTGACTGAAAAAGAAGAAAAAAATTGCGTCTATTGTTAATGGATCGATCAGTAGATCTTAACAAAATCTTGGTGCTCGTAGGATAACTTATTAATCTCTGTATAACAACTCAGTTAATTATTAATATTTATGGATTCACAGATTTATGGACATACAGATAGATTTCTGAAGGCAATAAATTATTGTAAATGAATATTTCTTTGTATATTAAATGGATTATGAAGGATTAATGTGTGTTCTAGGTAAAATTTTATTAGATGAAGATTAGAAAAAGGTATAAGTGAATTAAAATGAATAAGAATAAATAACGGAATGATAAGATAAATAAATCGTATAAAATAAGTCTGAATTCTATGGCAATAGTGTAAAATATTTGTAGTCAACGTATCTAATTTATATTATGGCAAAGAAAAAAGATAAAAGTATACAATCGAACCCAAATGGAGCTCATTTTATTATAAAGTGTTTTAATTACGTCTGTTATATTTATATGAAAAAGAAATTGCAAGGTAAATATATGGTGCATAAATAAAAATGACACGTTATTCCTTTAATTAAATTTCTAATTAATAATGTTCCTGTTCTGTATTTTCTTTTCTTTTCTTTTCCTTTTTTACGGATTTTTACGGTAAAGACAGAGTATTTTGTCTTTCAATTTCCTAAGTGAAATTCGATAATTCAAACAAGCCAAGCAGAAGTAATAATAGTGAATAAAATATTACTACTTGGCGTAAGAAAACGCCAACTCGAGTCAGTAAATTGTGAAAAACATATTCGTTATCGACGCTTAAACTTCTTGGAAACTAGTTCGAAAAATTCGTGAGAGAGACGATAAACGCTGAAATGGGCAGAAATTCGGCACTTTAAGAGAATTCCTTAATCTGAATTTTTCCTAAACGAAAGATTCATCTGTTTTACATCTTTCCAATTTTTATACCGTTAACCCCTTGCCGTATAATTTCTTTTATAACCGCACTCGTTAGGGTAACGTTGTCCTTAATAGTTTACCAAATAACAAAGATACATTCCCAGTTCATCTGTATCCACCTTTACTTTAAAACATAACAATTAATAATACAAAAAAAGTATTTAATTTCAATCTAAGAATAATTGAGTAACATTTAAGTTTTGTAAATTCCATTTGAGAAGTTTCTTATGAGTCTTGCTCAATATTGTATAGCAAAGGCTTCAGAATGTATGCTCAAGATAAGTTCAAATAATCTTTGAAATTGTAAAAGTTACAAAGTTATCGATAATTATTTTATATACATCTATTTATTTGCACCCTAAAATTTATACGTATGTTTAAAAAATTGTCTATAGGGAGTGAATTTATTCTCATCTCTTGAAAGAAATAATCAAATGTTTATATTGACGAAATTGTTAAAAATCATGGATACATAACAGAAGTCCAGAAATCATTACAAAAAACTACGAAAAACTGATTAATGGGTTGTTGGAATGATTTTCTGATGCATTCACACAAAATAACCATGAATCTTCAAACTCATTAATGCTGATCATTTCTTCGAACATTGGCATCCTTGAAAGAATTATTGGTCTTACAATATATTTAGCAGTATTAATGCTTGTTAAAATATTAATTTCAATGAAAAAATAATGTAACTGATAAGATTAAAAATTGAAATAAATACGGAAGAATTTGTCAAGTATAACCATTTCGTTCCAAATGGTACATATGGGTACCACAAACATTTTAAATTACCGGAAAGTTATAAAATACCTGGATAAACGAAAATTCTACCACCCGGGGATCTTTGCTTATCAGTAGATGTGTTTTGGTTGGTTAGTGCGCACCCGTAATTTTTTTTCACAAAATTTGTATTAAAAAGAATACATATTCGGAGACGAATGCGGTAAAGATCATGAACGCCTTAGTCGCCCTGAACACCGACATCGCTAAAGCCACAAAAATTTCCCAAGAAAAAGGAAAAAGGTACATACTTTATAAAGAAGATCTTCTTTGCATCACCAAGTTAGTCGATTAAGTACTACAAATAACAGACAATTTATCTTAAAGTCAAAGTTGTTCAACCACCTTATATTACAATTAATATGAACCATTTTTATATTCCAATTAGTTTCCTATTTTTCCCATTTTATTACTTCTTTCGTCGAAATAATTATTACACTTGATTTTCATTAATATTCGGGTAATCAATTCATGGTTATCACTGGATAAAAAGTCCAAATAATCTATCTAGTGATTATCACTAGATAAAAAGTTCAACAACTGCTATAATACAGATCCCTTTGTTCGCAAACAATTATAGAACGGAACGTCAACCAATTGTGTACTTTATAAAAACGCATGTAATCTACTTTGAATAAAGGGTTCTGTGGGCTTTCATACTGAAATACGTTGTTTATTGTTATGTGGATGTAAATGAATAGCACCCGGTTTGCGTTTCTCGTTTCCAGTGGGCGTATTGGCATGCAGAATTTAATTCTTTTTTACACGATATGTTCATGAAAAAGGTTTAACCAATTCTTTTAGTATGAAATATATAACATCCCTCAAAAATGTTGAGTCAAAAGTTTCGGATCATCTTGAAAATCTCGATTTCTGAAAAAGAATGTAACATGATAAATGATATTTGTTATCTTTAGTAGATTTGTCAGAATTTTTTTCTATTTTGCCAATTCATTTCGAAAGTTATTTTATAGCACTGAGCAGCACATTTTAATTCCCATTCTTATTCGGTTATTAAATGTTCAGTAACAAAATCTCCAGTAAGGCAAAAAGATGTCATTTCAGCGAAGGAAACGTAAACTATATTTTAATAACTAATATAAATAACTTTGTTCTTGTACAAAATTTCTATATAAAAATTTTGCTGCTTATTCTTGAAATACCAATAAAAAAATTTCGAGTTCCTAACTGTATTACTCCTAATTCTATAGATAACTTTTCTGCTATAATATCATGTAAGGCTTGTGATAAAAATTTTAAACTGAATTCGACAAATCTAAACGTAATTTATATATTTTTAACATAAATTAAATATTATCTGTCTATTGTCAATCTTTAACTTTTAAAGTAAACATAGACACAAAACAAGTATCAAATTTCCTATTTCAATTAAATTATTGACGATAAAGTAGTTTCATCTAGCACAATTGTAAAAAAGATCACAGGCCAAGGGGTTAAATTAGTTTTTTTATATGATCCCGTATTAATTTGCGCGTATTGTACATAATATTTACAAACAGTTATATAATAAAAAATAGCATTTGACTTTCGTTATATTAAACGACAAGCACCAGCTCCCATTAAGTCTAACGTTTACTTTTTCGTCTTACAGTTATGCTAATGTAGCACTTTGCCAGTAGGAGATTTATATGTGATTCCACTCTCGCCTTATGTCCTAACTATAATATTCGATTTGTTGAGTTCCGTAACTCCGATATTGAATGAAAATGCTGTGTGAACACGTTTGCCAGTGTTAGAGCACGGAACCAGATTCACAATGATCCGTTTATTTTGAGAGTAGCTTAAACCCATTTTTCAAAAAAATTAAATTAATCATTATAATAGTTACAATTCTACATAAGCTTTTATTCTTTAATGATTTTATCTGCTTCAACCAATTAACAGCATGTGACGAGTACACACGTCATCTTAAAGCTTGAAATGATATTCTTTCAAGGACGAATTCTTTATTTTTTCAAATAAACATGTAATCCTTCTTTGTTTTGCTTCGGTCTTTTCATTAGAATATACTCTAGTCGCATTCGTCCTGCGTTTGACGAGTGCACACTTCATTTTTTGATTTTATTGTGCCCAAAACATGAGATTTTTTAAAATAAACTCCGCAGTTAACAGGTTAGGTGGACTTAAGCTACTTTCAAAATAAAAGGTTCATATATCTAAATAAGTTGAAAACCGTATGACGACAAGCACCGGACGTAACAGAGAATTTCGGGCACGTATTTCGGCGGTGCCAGATTATCGATGCCCGGCGAGACGTACAGAGAAACGAATTCTTTCCGCCGACAAATCTCGCGTTGGCTGTTATTCCATCGATTGAACATGCAGAACCGGCCCCGCGAACCACAGAAATGCCCGATTGTTAACGTTTCGGAACCGGGGTACCGTGTACCCATGGTATCCACGCTGATTGGATCGATTGTTCCACACCAATCTCGGAATGCGTTCTTTTTCGCCTCGATCATTCCCTCGTCACACCGGTAATTTCGAAACGAAGGATACGAAACTGAGCTCAACTGACACGGAACACCTAATTACCTTTGCCATTCCACCAGTCCAGAAATGGTTTCAGGCTATCTAGAACGTAAGTATGTAGGCAACTACGCATGCCACTTCTTTATATCTCACCGCATTCGAAGAGAAAAGTTGTTATGGATACCTTGCCGCTAGACTGCGAATCTTTATGTAAATTCTGACTTTTCAGGACGTAACCGGGAATATAGAATTACGATGTAAAATGGTTTGTTTCTAACGAATACTTTAAAAAGCACTACACTTTGGATATTTTTGCAAAGTCTTAAATTAAGATTGTAATTTAATTACACTTCTGTGATAATTTTTTCATGTATATATATCGATCGATGCAGTATAGAAAAAAACTATACAGTGAATATTTTATATATTTTTTCATATTATAATATTTCGTGCACAATTTGTGTAACTTTACATTTTCAAATTTCCTATAAATGAATAAAAGTCTATTTATTACTTTAAGTTTGAAAACCAGAATGGTTTAAAAATAAGTCTCAAAACTGCGTTTCTGTAATAGTGACAGAAGCAAATTCTTGCTTCAAGCATGTGTTTGTCGACAAAATTTGGAAAATACCTCATCGATTACGATTTATCGTTTAGAATTTCGCAAAAATGTTTTAATATTATTTAACATTTTTAAGTGTTAATTACTATGGCTCTTGTGACTGAAATGTATACAAAATCTTAAGTCAAACATTGAAATTTAAAAAATGTATTACAAAAGCAAAAGTCATGTGACAATTCTTGCGCTTTATTATTTTAAAAGGATGTGAATAGATGTATAATGCAATTGCATCGTAATCTTTCTCATATTTGATAAAACAATCATTAAATTTTGTACTTTAATTTGTAACTGATAAAAAAATTATTGACATTTTTAAAAGCTATAACAACAAAATGGTTGAAACGATTGAAATGAAAACTATTTTCCATTACAATATTAAAATAAATGTAGTATCGAACATTAAAAAAATAATAATATGAGCAACAAAGAATATCTTCTATCCTCGTTTAAGAAATTTAAACTATGAATTAATTTATAAGTTGTTATATTTAATAACTTGTTTATTTAATCAAAAGTATGCAATAATTACAAACCTATTGCTCATTATCATAACTGAAACGATATTATTCATATTCGTAAAAAGTCGCATTCCATTATGCTTGTGTGTACAAACACAGCATGAATGTATAAAATTCGCATACTAATAATAATTTTCAAAAAGGTCAAAACAAGGAAATAATATTCTAATTTCCAGTATGAGATATTTTACATATATATTGGAATATTACTTGTATTAACAGTTATTATAAAAACAAGCACCTATAAAATGAGGAATAAAACTTATTTGTATAATATTTCATTTCTAAAATTATCAAATTCGAAAATTTGCCGAATGTATGCACATGCTATTGAATACATAGGAGTCAATTAGCTTGTCATTTCCATTTTTTGTAATCACGGATGCAAGCGTAATAGACTCTCACAATAGATTATCTCGGAAACAAAGCATCATACGACCTCCCATTGTTTATTTTCTATTTATGTTCACATGCAACATAACGTTCTGCACAGTTGCACCAACCGTCCTCGAACACCTTGTATTTTACATATAACATGGTATTTTCTTTGCTCGAAATGTATAATAATTAACGTATCGACTATTACGCGAATTTTGTATATTTTATACAGGCAAAATGGAAATAAAATTCTCATTGTTATAAATATGTCATCGATTGCTAGTATCAATCTGCAATTTTTATAAATGAATAACAAATATGAATGCATAAAGCACAAGTTAAGCGAAAACTTTAGCCGTGATTTTACACAATTTTTTATTCTACCCTTAATTTTATAAACTTAACAAAGTCCTATACTTGCAAAATATTATAAAAACGCAAATTAACCTTTTCAATGGTGAATACACTACTCTCTCTATCATATTTACTTACATACCTCAGAACAGAAAAATGTTGAAACTACAATTTTATTCATTTTTCACGATTTTTGGAAGCATTCTAATGTAAAATATAATGATTTTTATCCTACAAGTCGAAACTCTGTAAGGAACAGCTTAACATCTCCGTTGTTTTTAAGCTTAGGAAAATCTTCTAATACGAAAGTACACTAATCGAGAGGGTAAATTTTATAACAGTAGAAAATATTTTTTTCAAAATCAAGTTTCCGAAATTTCAAGGTCGTCAGTACTTTCTTAAATAAAACTATGTCGTTTGTTCTATATTCGTTGAAAAGGTTACAATTTATCACACACAATTACATTGCTAGGAATGTATAAAATTGTATAAAACATGATTTAACACTAAAACTACCGAGCAGTTAAATTGACTTCTTGAAATTTCTCTGCAGAAACTCCAAAGGCATATCTATTAAGACTATAATTGATTTACAATTCAATTTGTGTATTACTAAATCAAGTTCTTTAATAATTCCTTAAAGAATAATTTGTTATCTTTTTAATCATTGTAAAACAAAGAAATCAGCAATATGTCATTTTAACATGTGTGATAGTTTTAGTGTTAAAGGTAAATTAGACCTACCACTTATTTGTGAACCAGGACTGTATTGCGACGACGAAGCGGAGAACGCATAGGGGCTGCTCTCTAAGGGTCGCGACCTTGCTTGTCCGTGATTTGGCTCGTTAGGACGAGTCGGTTTCACACACGTATCCACCGGTGCTCCATCGGGAAAACTGTATGCGGATAGTACCAAGGAAGCCAAAATTAGGCTATGGAATGCTAAGTTTCTCGTAGTCAAACTCATCCTTCGTTTTTCGAATTCTTTACCCGTGAGTCACCTTCTAAAATGATCGGAATTAATTGGAGAAATGAATTAAAAACTAAATAAAATGTTCAGAATTCTACTATTAGCTATTGATATCATGTTTTACGTCATGTGTAATTAACTTTTTCTGAGTATGTCATTAATTCGATTTTTTCTTTTATTTCATTTCTTTTCTTTCCAGGAATTTTTAAGCTATTACGTTTAACGTGCATAACTTTCATACGTTGTAAATTCAAAGATAATTTAATATGACATTCGGTATTAAAAGTGTCATATGAGTGATATTATTTTTGAAATAATTTAGTATCCGATGAATACTAATGAAAGTAGTATTAGTGATAGTGGCAAAATTGATGAAAAAAACGATACATTTTTAGAAATAGACAATTAATTCTAATGAATAAAAGTTAAATCAAATAAATAAATGTTAAGTGATTTTAATTTTTTCATCTAAGTCAATTATAAACGTGTTTGTTCTACGAGAATTTAGCAATTCCGAATAAAAATTTATTTCTGTTTCCATTGCGCTTTACGAAAAGCACTTACAGTAATGGAATTAATTTTAATAAAAAGAACACGGGATTCAGCGTTGTCATGTAAGACGCAGTACAGTTCGAAAGAAACTGAAAGGATCTCCTGGAAGCATGTCAAACGTGGTGGGATCCCACCATGGGATCATAAAAGGCGAGTTCAATTCACTTTTGCTAATTGTCACTTTCACTCCGATCCCTTCGTCGATGTTAGAACCAATCGCGTGCCGCGTTCTGATTCTTACAATTTTTATTGAGTCCAAGACTCCCTTGCCTTTTTTTATTATGACGATACATTTTCTATTTACAATTTTGAATCTGTTCATTTAGAAAATTATTCATGCTTGACAAATACAGACGCCATTTTATTAACACGCAATTAAATTTTTACAATTTTGATAAAGAGAAAAAATAATGTTGAACATAAATATCGAATTTATATTTTAAACATTCATGAATTTTGCAAAACCTATTCTAGTTTATGTTATATATATATTTATTATCTACATTGTTATTAATATATTGCATGTTTTACACATTCAGTTTTATATAAATAAATTGAACATGATATGAAGTTCAACAAATATGTTTCCTCTGGTAAGTAGAATAAAATTAATATAAATAAATATTTAATTATGCATTATTCAAATTATTATTTCATCTTTTTACTATATATACTATAAATGTATACTACACATTGGTTGTTACCCTCAAATTGGAATAATTAAATAAAAATTAATGATGATTAACATATGAGGAATTATTAGAAAATAAATAAGTAAATGCTTGAATTGTGTGTAATTCATATTCTTACTAAATGAATTCATGGAACACAGAAATGTCCATAGATCACCCATTCCACACTAGAGATCGTAGATTTATAAAGCATGGTGTGTTCCTCGGTCACTGATACTTTTCACAGTATTATTGATTTTCCACAAGCTTTCAGGTTAACGCCACACAAAGTAGAAATGTATTCATTGTAGCGTGAACAACTGGAACATTATTTTCAGTAAATTGTTTATTCATCAATTACAAACTGTTAATAAAAACATATGTAATAATGTGTTTTACATTAAAGTAATCGACATAATCCTTCATTTTGCCTATGAAAATTGAAATAAAAAATTAAAACGTAATAGACTATTGCAAGTACATATTCTCATCACCTTTTTATACAAATAAAAAAATGCATATTATTTTATAAATATTTACAATAATCTAGTTATACTTAAAATATATACACTTACAAGTGTGTAATGAACACAACAATTTTCCTCTAAATATACAAAAATATGAAAAGATTTATTCATTACATACACTCAAAGTTATAAGTTATACATCAAGTAGTAAAGATATATTAAAATCTTGTTTTGTGCCAATTTTTTCGTTTGTGAAATTCAAGTTTCTCATTAGCACAATAAATACATCGACTGAAGCGTCTCGAAGTTTAGTCTATATAGAAAATTCGCGCATTAGACCATTGAAACAAATAAAGACACTTATCCATCGTTGATACTTGCATACAAATCACTAGAGAAATAAATCATTGTTCGTTCAACGATACATCTATAAACAGGTTAAAATTTTACATGGTAAGAAGGAATGTTTCAATCCGATTTCGACAAGGCGGAAGAATACGTTTCATTTATCGATTGCGGATCACTTCAATCGCACAAGTCCGTGGAAACCAACCCTTCTTTCGTACATGTTTTTCATTGTGATCATCTTCTTTTTTTTCTCCAAATAACCAATACCTGTAACACAATTTGTTACAAAGTTTCAGTAAAAATTTCAATGAAATAAAATTCAACCGTAATAACAGATATTATTTTTTTTATTAAATGGCTTTGTGCAAATCATATTACCAACCAAAACATGTAAACAAGTTTGTAAACAAGATTATCTATTCTAATTTCAAATAAATTACAAATCAAATTTGACTCACTTTCTCCATCGTGTTACAACCACAATGTCTCCAACTTTCAACTTAATACGTGGTTCATCGGTACAAGGTAAGTGACAAAGTACACCCCAACCATGTGTTATTGGCACCCATGATCCAGATGCTTCTTTTATGACTCTGTAAGTTTTAGCTCTCTTCCGTTTGTCTTTCTTCTGAGCTAATTGTTCTTGCTGGAATATTATAGAAGTAATCATACTAAACATTTTAATTAAGGTATTTAGGTATTTTAATTAAGTAACTGAGCTATTTCTAATTCAATGAGTAAAAATGTACTGTTAATGTGTATTGATCACAGCCTTCGATCACAGGCCAATAAATTCCATTTCCAACTGGTGTACAATCCCATGTAAGAACTTGTTGTATATTAAAACGCCATCCTTTTGAATATGGATAAATAAATTTATCTTTGGTACCAAATCTTCGGTAGTGGGCCTTTTCTGAAATCCAAGCTTCAATTTCCGTTCGATTTTTAACTATAGCTAACAGCTAAAAAAAATTAACAAACAACTTTCTTTATTTATTACTATATATTATATATGTGCAATAAAATTATAATACTAAATGTTTACCTGAAAATAAAGCAATGTTCCAACAGCAAGGACAACACCAATTGACAAACCAATACTGATGATTACTACTATTAGAATAAATACAGAAGGTGGAGGAAATGATAATGGTTTTAAAGACAATACAGTCATCACCCAAGAAACTAGAGTAAAAGTAGAAATACAGCAACCAGCAACTGCACTTGCCAAAAAAGCTGTAAAATGTCCATGATTAAAGTGTCCTACACAATTATTTATCCATGGACAGTGATGATCCATTTTCATCACACAACGCTCACCTAAAAAGCAGAAACTAAATAAAGAGAATAAATTATATTTGTGATAACTAAATCTATAAAAACTCACATTTTCTGCAATGATGAGATCTAGGGGCTTTATAACCTTCGCATACTGAACAATATTGTAAGAATTGAGTATCTGTTAGTTTTTCCTAAACACATAAGAATATTAGATTAATTAATTACAAATATATTAGATAATACTTATAATTATTATTTGTGCATATATTATATATACAGTACTGGCATCCACTTTAATGGAAGAAATCCAGGCCCTTCATAAATAGAACTGATGAAATGGAAGAGTGTATATCCACTGAGACAAAAGAAAAGCATAAAATTAATTGTTCCAAACAAACTCTCCTGTGGTGGCCAGCATTGTCTACTACAATGTATTGTCATCAAAGTGATTATTTTTATAATTCCTAAAAGGACATCACGAAGAAAATATTATTAACAATTATTAGTAAATAATCTATACATTAATATCTATATTAAATCAGTCACGGAAACTCAAAATGAAAATTTAAATTTCGCGCGACTCTGTCGTAAAGCATGTCAAACAAAATGGAAGCAGCTATTTATCAGGTTCATCTACACGTACATTTCTATTTAATTTTTCCTAGATGTAGAAGTGGAACTTAACTGGGATATTAATATTTTATTCGACGTTTTAATACTTTTAAAGTTTTTTGTGGATAAAAATGATTGTTCTTTGCAAATAATATAACGGACGCATCTAAATTTATATCTCCAATGCACCTACCAAGAGCAGTAAGCGGCCCCCAATGGCATATTTTCTTTAACGGATTAACACCCATGCCGTTACCAAGAAATTATCATAAAATTGCTCCTGATTTTTGAAAATCTGATACTTGATATGACTGTTTTGAACGAACAATCCTTTTGATTGTTTATTAAATTTGTATTTAGAAGTATGTTTCTCTCGGCGACACATTCCGTTACAATTCATACGCCTCAATGTTGGCACCAATGTCGAATATTCTTCAACATTAATGATTTCTTCATTACAGTTCTATGAAAATGATATCTATATGTAAGTTACATATTTTTCAATATTTATATATTTAATAATATTTTTTATAACGTTAGAATCATTCGAATTTATTCAAACACAAACAAGATGTAGAGTAGACTCTTACAGAATTTAGAAAACCAGTGCTTTTAACGACCTCTATATTATAAAAACGATGAAATCAGGAATTAAATTCGACTTATTTAACAAAGTTAGAGTTATAGTTCTGAAATATGATAATTATAATGTCAATTATCACTTTTTTTTATTTTATAATAAAATAAGTGTAAATATACTTATATAATTATTAAATTATGCTGAAAATTATGCAGTACATTAGATAAATACTGTATTATTCACATTACGTCATTCTTAAATCATTTACAAAACAACAAAAAAGAATATTTTTGCAAAATAATAACGAGTATATAGGTTTTTGTAAATAGTAGTAAGTCCATCTATTCTAGTTCGTTATTAAAATTTAATTATTTATTTGAATTTATACATTTTATCTTACTGTCAAAGAATTCAATTTAGGTATACTTAAGTACAACATTACTTGTTTTATTATACCGAAATAAAAAGTTGTGTGGAAGGAATAAGTTTGATTGATTATTAAATACATGTATTTCGTTTTTGATCAAGTTGGTAATATCAACGATCGGATATGTAATACAGGGGTATCAAACTGAAAGCTCGTGATCTCTCTAGAGTCTTTCCCCCATGGAAAATTGCCCCCTCCATATGTAATTTTATCTGTAGTATTGAACACTACATATAACGGCTTACACAATTCAAACAGTCTCCTAGAGTGAGGTAAATAGTAGGGGAACCGCTGATCGGAGTTACTTTACACTCATATCTTTCTAAATGGTATCCCAATGAATGCCAACTTTTCGTCCTTGTAAAATACTTTCCCTATTCACTTAAATCTGTTCGGTTATTTTTTCACGTTATGTTTACTTCGGCTATTCAATAGTAATTAGTGAATTATACAATTTATAAAATGTATATCTGTATTTACAGAATGTGTGGAATTAGATTTAATATTAATAGAATTTGTATATTTGAGTGAACTATAAATTGTTACAAGGCAGTAATTCCGCTGGTTATGTGTATTAAAAGTGTTGCATGAAATTAATTAATATTAAATATTATTATCGAAATGTTTGATTAAATTTGTCAACAACGTTGTAAACATGAAAAATTTCAATGTATGTACATTTATTGTTGAAGTTCAAATACTCAATATAAATATTTGCACATGTAACAGGGTGTTCTTATACAAATATATTTGCAATGTCACTAAATATCTAAATAACAGAATCTTTTTCAGCTTTATAATCAAGTAGAGTTTCCTGAACCACCTGTACCTAAAGCACGGCCACCTTTAAGAAAACAGAATATATCTGAGAAGAAAAGTTCTTATCATTTCAGTAATTCTGATAATGCGCTGATAATGGAAGACATACAGGACATTAAACAGCAAACTAAAGACTTTCTTGAGTTTAATGGTTATGATGAATATACTGATGATGAAGACGATGATGTTGACAATAATGAATCACGGAATAGTTTGTCACAAAGTATGACACCAGAATATTCTTTTTCTAGTGCATGTAACTCATCTTCTGCAACACGTGAACATTTACGTGAACGAAGTTTGCGAAGTCTGAATACAAATCGATCTTTCAATAGTACTAATAATTCTATACAAACTTACAACCAGTTTCCAAGTCAACGGAACAGAACATCTAACATCTTTTGTAATTTACTTCCGTTTGGTACTATTACTGTATTTCTATTCATATTTTTATATATAATTGTTAATGGATTTTCTATCAACGAAACAACTCAGGAGAATGAATCACAAATTAGTAAAACAAATGTGATGGATTTAAAGACAATAGATAAATTATTAGATGAATCAATGCAGACTATTCAAACACAGTTTCATCATCAAAAGTCTACTATCTGGAATGATATAGCATCTGCAATATATGATGTAGTTATGTATCCTGAGAAACCTGCACTTATTATGTTCTTTGGAAATGACACAGATACTTTAAATTGTTTAGCCCAAATGGTTGGAGAATTAAGTAGTACAGTTTTAGGAAGCAATGATTACTTAATCTTAACACCCAAAGATTTTCCAAATGATGTTGGTAGAACAGTGTATAATTTAAAAGTAAAGATTTCGCAAAAAAAAGTAGTGGTAAGTATTTTATTAAATTTTTGTTTTGTCTACATAGTGTAAATATTACCATACAGTTCTCATATATAGCATATTTTATTATTTTAGATAGTTCATGATTTGCTGAGCATCAATACAGAAGCAATAAAAGCTTTTCATAATTTCTGTGACAGAGAAAATCCATTAGTTAAGAAAGTTATTTATATAATGACTTTAATTACTGATGGGTACAAGCCATTTGAAAGTGAATTAGAATTTATTGACAAGCAAATATTTAAGAAATTAGTAGGTAAAATAGATAAAGATATTTTGGATCCTCTAGTAACTAGACTTACAGATGGAATTGTTATGTCAGTGAAACCAGAGTTAACTACAAATACGAATAAGAAAAAGTGCTCATTTTCCTAATGCACTAAATTGTGGTTTCTAGATAGTGGTATAAAGTGTGATGACATGATTATTACAGTATTATAAATACATTCAAAACTATAAATTAATAAAACAAAAGCATTAATTATAATATTAGGAATATATTTATGTAGTAAATGTTAAATAAATACAATTTGTATTTGTATTAATATTCAACTTTATTTTGTTTCGTCAAATGACAGTACAGAAAATCAACATCTTTAGATGAAGATACCCGATGGTGATTTGGCGGTTTCTACAAATTTTCAAAAAATATAACAACAAGATCAATGCCTCTGGCATGGTTTCAATTTACACTTTTGAATGACACATGTCTGTAGCTTTGAACTAAAATACAATGAACAGATTCACATTGTATGTGTCACATTGTACGTTCGTGTTATTGTATTATATGTCAATTTGCAGTCAATGTGATGTGAGTGTTCCAAATTGCCAATTTACAATGCGTTTCTATCGGAAACAGAAATCTCCTATTTTCATTGATATATCGATAGACTGTTGAACAGAAAAAAAATGTTTCCAAGAGATTTTATTTATGCAACTAATTAATATTAAATAAGTTACAAAGATATCATATTGTATCGAGGTTCAAGAACGTATCCGAAAGATAAAATTATGTATGTAAGAAAGGAAGATCAAGAAAATTTATGAACATGATTTATGCAATTAAGTATTGATATATAGGGTGAAATGTGAAAAATACATCTGAATATCTGTGATGGACTTAAAAATATAATAAAATGCGTTAGATCTTATTTCATACGCTTTTCGGTACTTTCAAATTGCAACATAGCTATTCAGATGTCTTGAATCTAACATCTCATCCTATATAATAAAGATTTTGAGATACTTTTATCACATTTTATTTAAGAATAGCGTGCACAACATAAAATGACAAATCCGTTTCAAATATGCTTATATTCTATTTTGGTAAGCATTTTATAAATTGGCAACAAGTACTCGTAAGTATACACTTTGCTAAAAATGGCGCCATTAGCAAAGTGGTCGCTCACGGAATTCTTATAATACAGTCCTTCTCTGTCGTAGTAATTCATGTCAGTAACTAAAAGTAGGTAATATATATTTATATTATCTTGTATAATATAGTATGGTACCGTCAAACCTAAATAATAAATACATTTTATACAGTCACAGACCTTTTATACAGAATGTCCAAAATTTCGTGTGCTGTACAATCGCGATACAATCAATCCTCATTATAATTCGCGCAAAATTTAAATTTATATTTAACAAAACTGGAAAGATTTTCCAAAACAAAAAAAAAATACATATACAATTTTTATATGTATATACATGCATTGTATACATATAATATAATAATTTTGTATAAACACGATCTCTGAAAGAAATACTTTATAATAAATAAAAGAATCACCTACTATTTTGTAACCACAAATACAATATAGTTAAACACATTTTATAACTTTGAATTTTAATAAAATTTAAAATGCGCTTAAATTTTATAATACAGTTTTAGTCGATTGTAATGCAGTTGTTAATACGTCATAACAAAATAGAAACAATTAATTAATAAAAATGTATGAAATTGGAAAGGAAGTCATAATCGTTAATTCGACGTAAATGTTGCTTCGTTTCTTAAGGGCACTCTGTATAGAATAGCCTTAAAATTACAAGATACGTATTTACAGTAAAAAAGTTTAATTGGTCATGTTCCTACCTAGTGTAGTAAGGATGTGAGTACCGCGTTGCGTAATGTTGTCCGTGTTGGCTACGTAGTCGCGTACTTCAGTCGTTAGTGTCTTGCTGGTTGTGCAAGTTTTTTTCTTTCGTAATTCAGAGTCAGTCATAACGTCATATGAGGCTCAAATTTGCCTCAATAGTAGTAAATCGTCTTGATCATTGTTTCCGTACTTATCCGTTTCTACTTAAGCGCTAAAGATATTTGTTAACTTTTTTTTCTTCAAAGATAAACTGAATATGCTTCATACTAAATATGTTTTATGTTTATGAGTTTTCCGAAAATGATAAACCGGGCCCTGATCAAATTATTTCAAAGCATCGTTAAAATTTCGCATAAGGTTATTCACATTTCAATAGAGAACCTAATGCCGGTCGCATATGGTGTGTAGATAAAAAATAAACAGAAAAAATCATTTTAAAATAACTGCGTACAAAAATTTTTTTATACTAATTCTTTTATCACCGAGAGCAGAAAAAACTGATCACCTCGAGATATTACTGATATTATTTCTTTTCTTTCGGATACAAACGAATTCAATGTATATGTATAAATATACCACTCTTCACGTCTGATCGATTCTGTAATTTCAAAGATTGTCTCGTTACGAGAACTAGTCGTAAACGCAACGAACGAAACAAGATCGAATCCGGAAATACATTCGGAATTTCAATTAAAATCAATCAATTAAAAGTCGAAGCCTTCGACTGGCAGTTGAGGCGAGTCGGATGCTTCAAACTGAAATTGTTGTCCCTGTGAATCGATGGTGGGCACGATTCGCGCGTCTTCTTCCTCGGAACCGAAGTATCGTTCAATTATGTCGAAGGCCTTTTGATAAATTTCTATGTTCGGATGAGATTGCAAAAATTCTATTTTGTTTAGGCCTGAAACAGAATAATGTAAAGTAAAAAATGTTGATTCTTTACAGTATTTTTATGAACATTTTCTTTTTACGATTGGATACTCACCGAAACATTGTTCGATTAATACCGCATACTGATTCATGCCACTGTGTATAGCATCTTGTTCTCCAAGGCGAAGAATATTTTCTAAGCCGTTTAATGCGACCTGGACGATCTTAGCGTCCATCACTGTCAACAAATCACACAACGGAGGAACGCATCTTTGTGACACGAGGTAACGAATTTGTTCGGGTGTACCGCCACTGGTAGCATTAGTAATTGCCCATGCTGCTTCTTTTCGTGTTTTGAACTCAGCCTTTCCCAGAATGTCAATTAAAACTGGAAATATCTGGCAGTCGATGACTGCCTATTAAAAAAAATATATATTATTAGATGATGCTTGTAATAGTATAATATTTGTTATTAATAAATGTCTAATGATAAGTTCAGAAAAAATTGTAGGAATAGTTTATATAAGACTTTTCTGCAAAATTTGTATGAACCTGAATTTGCTGAGGATTTCCTGCCGTGATGTTAGAAACTGTCCAACAAGCCTCTTTACGAACTGGATCTCGTGGTGAATTTAAGAGATGCAAAAGACAAGGTAGCACAGAACAATTGAGAACAACTTGCGTTTGTACATCGTCTCCCGTCACTACGTTCCCCACTGCTCGGAGAGCCGCACTTATTACATTGTTTTGTTGATGCCTAATAACATATTTTATTATTATCACATGCTAAATTGTGTTAAGTTATATAGATATTTAAATGAAAAACTTACATGAGTAGTTCTACCAAACGTCTGCACACACCCGCATCTATAACAGCTTGAATTTTTTCATTCGGACCATCGCTTAAGTAAGATAAAGACCAGCAAGCGTCAGCGAGAACATCGCCGTCCGAGTGATTAAGAATATGTGCTAGAACAGGTAGACATGGAGAGACTTTCTGGAAAACCGGCGCCGGATTCTTGCCTCGACAGAGATTCGATAATGCCCATACTGCGTTACGTGTCATTGATAGGCGAGTTGGCTTAGAAAGTAGTCTGAAAAATAAATGAAAATGGGTTAGTTCAATACAACGATAAAGAAACAATCAAATTTATTAGATTATCTTATAAGTTCATGCACCAATGTTATAGTAGGTTAAGGTAAGATCATTATTATTAATACTGTGTTTAATAAACTCTAGAATAGCATATATGAGTCGTTCTCTTCATGTTTTTTATATTTTAAAATTTCATAAAACCCCAGAATTAGTTTCCGTTCTAAAAACTCTAACCCTTTTCACTCAGAACTTTCTCACTAAAAATATTTAACATTTTTTGACAACATAAAGACGATATTTTTTGGAACTAACTCGAAGGGAAATTACAAGTACATTAAGGAACAAAGCTATTTTATTCCAATATTTTACGTATCGAAGTATTATACAAAGTTCAATATTAAATATCAGACTTAATAGTTTTACTGCGTCAAATCAAGTGGTGACTGACAGTCACCTCCCGAGTGCACAGGGTTAATAGTGCCTCAATGTTAAGTGTACAAATAGTTTTAATTTTTGAAAACCTACTCCTTATACTACATTTGAAAAACTTCATATTTTAATAATAACATTTGAAGTCTTAAATGTGCTCATTTTAAACGTTAAATTATTTTGTTAAATATTTTCTTTATAAAATGTACAAAAACTTTTACAAAATGGTTAAATCCATATGGTTAACAAAGTGATGAATGAACCATAATGATATACAATGTTCCTGAGAATGTATATATCATAGTTAAATTAAGCAGTAGAGGTAAACCATTCAGAAAATAAACATAACTTGTAGTATTATTTAATACTATTCCAAAAACTTACTGAAGGAGAGGCGCGAGAATTCCACAATCTAATACATGATCTCTGCACGCAGGACTATCTCCTGCAATATTGCCCAATGCCCAAACAGCTTGCTCCTGAACATCTTCATATTCCGAACTAAGTAATGAAATAAAGGTAGGCACAGCCCCTGCCTCTATCACTATACGTGTTTGCTGAGATGTTCCACTTGCTATATTCGTTAAAGCCCATGCAGCTTCAAACTAAAATCACCATATATAGTTTATATCATGTGTGAAACATGATTGTGTAGTAAACTACAAGGCTTACTAACCTGTAGAGTGCAGTTTGTATTATTTTTTAACAATTCAACGAATCTAGGTACAATTCCTGTTTCTACAACTTCTTCTATTGGCGGATTTGGTTCCCTGGATAACATTCTTCTAAACTTTTGAGTAGCTGCCAATTGTTTTTCTGGATCAGGACTATATAATGCTTGCACCATTTCCATTGTGATAGTAGGAGATTGCTGTAAATTAAAAAATTTATTAAATCAATAATTATATAACTGTAAACAGATAATACAAAGTATACTTTAATCAAGTTTGTCATATCAAAATTATAAGAAATTACCAATTGTGGTGCAGGAACTGCACATTCATCCGTTACAACATTTTCATCATCAGCATCAATGTTAGGAACATTGCGCCTCTTTGATAGCTGTTGCTCTCGTTTCTGTTTCCTCAATTGCACACCTTCTTCTTCTCTACGCCGTCTTAATTCTTGTGAGTCCAGCCCCGCATTTTTGTAACGGTATTTATGTGTAGTTGCAGTTGACATCTGAAAATATAAGTAATATATATGTACTATAAATAAAGGATATTATAATAGTATAAATTTTTTATTTTTTACAACAATTCTCCATCTGTATCAATATAAATATTTATGAAACTACATTTATCATATAACAGTTATGGCTCTTTATATTAACAATACTATAAAAACAACCAAAATAAAATAATGAATAAAATATTAATAAATGAACATTATTTTCTCCATACAAAAATTTAAAACATAATTGAAACAACTGAGGCAATATAAATTTATCTTTTTATGCTACATAAAAATGAACTTAAGAAAATCGCTTTACATTAAGCTATAATATTAGGCATTAAAACATATATATAATATTAGGTTTGTGAAATAGTATTCTAATCTATAAATACACTTAGCTTCATCTCAATTAATGTTACCGTTACTTTACTAAAAACAAATTTACTGTTATAACATATAATGCCATTAATGGATACATGGTACTAGTGATGAGGCAACAAAGTAGGGAACGAAAATACCAATTATAACATATAATAAATTGAATCCCACGCGTTCCCTTAATTGTGTAAGTACATTGAGAAAAAATACGTCAATTTTTTCGGGATTAGTATTCGATTTGTTAATGGGTTCCAAGAATACCTTGAAACTGCTTGACAATGGGCTATTGAGGGTTAGGTATTAATCGGCAACGGTGGTCGGGGGTGGGGTATATCTTCTCAGAGACATTAGTTTTAGAATAATATACGATAGAAACTACATTGTCGAATAATTCCATACATTTATTTATGAAGAATTTTGCTCTCCATAAGAGAACAGTTAAATTAGACATTTTTGGCATAGACGGAGGACAGAAAAGGTGACGTTCGCCTGAAATTATCTCGATCTTTCTAGTCATATGTAGCAGTCGTATGATTTCGGAGGCGACCTAATGGTGTAAAATAATCGAGTTTTTACTTACGGCTGTGAAAAGAATTCGTTCGTTAAATATAAGAGTTCATAAAGAACAGCGAAGCGAGCACCGCCACACTTTTCACCTCCTCAAACTACGACAACCGATCGGAAAACCTTGGTCCGTACTCTAACGCGCAAAGAATCACGGGCCACGCTCGCGAAACGCTGATAGGTGCGTTCGAACAGTCATATTTATCCAACTTTTCCAATTTCACCCGGCTAATTTCGCCGCGTTCGTAATATGTTCTTATATTGTTCCAACTGTACCGTTTGCATAAAATTATGTAATAGAATATTTTAAGAGAAATCAGTCTCGCGAAAAATAACTTGTAATTCGTTGAATGTATCAAAATTCGCAAGACTTTTTTAATGGCGGTAGTAGAGTACGTTCGGAAAACATTCGGTTTAGTAATCGTCGGTTTTCGATTGGTGGAAATGTGAATCGAGCCATTGATGGAAGACCTTGTAAATGAGGGAACGAATGGATATTTTTGCGAACGCATAAGCGACGAACAACTGCGTGATTCAATGTAATAACCGGAAATTAGGTACTCTTCTGTATTTAAATGATTTATTATGATTATTCTATTTATTGAGTTGACGATGAAAAATGAAAGAATAGTAGGAAAAATAGAAAGTTTACTTAAAAATTTGCAAACTTTTAGCTTATTTTATAAATTTTAGTTCACTTCAGTTTCTTAAAATTAATTTCAAAATATTTTATTGGTTTTCTCTTATTAAAGCTAAATTTTATATTTGCACAAATTATTTTAATATTACACTATTACAGTTGCAAAAATGTAATAAACTTCTATAAAAATAGTCAGAGTTTATTATTATCAATTAAAGATAAGTATTCATTCTAAAATTATAAATTTCAATGTAAATAATTTCAATAATCAAATATAGAAAATGTAACTATTTATCTCATTAATATTCATGAGTTAATCATTATATGAGTTGGTAACTAGACGAAATACGGAACGGTGCTTCAGTGTTGATTTCTTTTTGTATCTTCGAACCCATCCGACTCACATATCCTCTACAAGACAAACGGTATCCGAGGTATTATACGACTCGAACCGCGAAGTCTTATATACATTAAAATCATTAAAACCAACTTATTAAAATCAATATAATCAGTTAGCAGACATATTTTACTTGTATAAAAGTATTTATAAAAAGAAAATAAGTATCTTCTTGGATACTCCATATTGTTTTACAGAACATTACAAAAATTTCAAAATGAAAAGCGAATTTAGTACAATACGATTGTTTTTTACAACTATATATAATCATTTAAAGAGATGAAATTGAATATCGATTCTGAATGAAATAAGAATTAACAATTAACGGATAACTCTTGTGAAAGGAAACATTACCTCCCGTTCATAAAATAAACAATCAGATTGACAGATTATTTTTTTAATTGTAATTTTTAATGAAAAAAAAAGAAATAAAAGGGCCTAACATGGTATGAATTTACAGTTAATAATTTTAAATAATTTTAGAATTTATAACGCATTTGCTTTTTGTTTGCCCGAGGGGTGTGACCTCCTTTATGTCAGAAACTTGAATTTCAATGGTGGCGTAGAAATTCGAGGGGTTGCCTTTAAGTTGCATGGTACAACCTTAGAATTTCTTTGTGTTCCCACAAAGCCACCTGTTTCTCTCTCAGGTAGAGAAACGAAGGCAAATGATTATACAGGTGCGACGATTATTGGTTCCCGCTGTTCATGAAGCTCCACCCACTTGACCACCTATTTCGGTTGAAAACTTCGTTATCATGTCCACCAGTTAACCTATTCCATGGTCGCCATGGATTTTCTCTTGTGCTAGAAATTCTTTCAAGATGGCGGGAAATAGTGTCAATTACCTGTTGTACTTAAATGGATGGATTTAACTCGATGAAAGAGAGATTTGGACTATGTATTTTAAAAGAAATAATTATGCAACGGAAAATGTTTTACAAAGTGAGATCTTAGATCTCAGTGTAGAAATAGAATCTTGTAACAACATGGAAAAAGATTATTATAATAGTTATGTATAAACATTCAGAAGATTAGTATGATAAGAAAGATCATATATTCATTATTGTTTTAACAGGTGTCAAAAGGAGATAATAGCTGACGTCTTACTATACATTTTATTGTAAATTCTAGATATTCGAAGGAACTTACTACAGACCTACGTTATACAATAGAAGTTACTAAAAACGTATTTAATAGTAATTTTGAAGGACTCAAAATTTAATATTTTTAAATAATAGTAACGTGAGTTTCAAAACATTCAATAGATTATAGAAACATTATACCAGCATTTTCATTTGAATAATAAATATTTATTTAAGGAAAAGTAGGATAATATTAATATTAGAAGGATATAGATAAAAGATTGTACATATCCGAATTAAATTCTCTAACTTTTTGACTTGTAACGATGTTGGGAACTTTCCGTTATAAAAACTGCAATTGTTTTTTAATAAATACTCCTGTGTACAGCGCGAAGATACTCAAAAGTTTTTAAAACTTTCACTACGCAAATGCGCTCACATATTCTCACAGTTATGTACTCTCGTCGATTTTCAATTACCCGTACGTTTTGCAAAAAGTTTGAAAACCAACAGAACATATATCGTAATTACTCACATATTTACGTTTTTTTTTGTTAACCCTTTAGTTTCCAGTAGCATCTCCTTGAAACCACATGTTTCAATATTAGTAAAATGCGAACCAGTGGACTAGTCGCGAATCCACCATAGAATCAATTAATCGTCCTTTCTTTTTTTAACAGTTAGAATAGCATTTTTTATAAGAATATTTATCTTTGTTACAAATGATAAGTTAGTTAATATATACTGTGAAAATAAATGTCTTCTTCCTAAAAGTTTTTATTTAAAACCTAAAGGGTTAATATGATTTCTACATTTACTGATTTATGTAATCCTTAATTTAACAACTAAAATGTATGCATTCATATAATATTATAATATTATAATATTCTTGTATAAATATTGTATTTTAAAACACAAATCGACGTGAATGTGTTCAAAGAATGAAGATCCAGAATGATATTGTCAAATTTTCACGAGAACAGAACAAATTGTGTAAAAGAAGATATAAACGTTACCACTTAGCACGACGAACAGCGTGTATGTGGGATCTACACAACTGTACCGTATTTATATATCTCCTATCATTCAAATATCTATCTTTGATTTTCTTACCGCTTGCTTATTTGTCCAGATATCTTGACCAATAGAGTTTTCATGTTCGTTCTAAGACACAGAACTTCGATGGACAGAGCAAAGAACAGAACGGTGAACCCGACAGAAAGTATTTAGCGGACATCAAAGGGTGGCAATGGCGGTGACGGTGGTGGTGGATGTTCGAAAGACGCGGAGGGTTGAAGAGCTATCGGGCGTGAATAATGCGCGGCGCCGTCCGTTCCTTGGTCCATAGGTTCGATTCCGCCTCGGCTCGATGGATTGATAAAGATTAAAGGTAAAGGGAGGTGGCAGAGTCCAGGGGTGTTTTGGAGTTAGGCGACAGAAGTCAGCCAGCGAAACGAATCAGCCGCACACGTATGGAGGGGGATGATGTCACATAGGGGATCCCCCTTCGACGTAAATACATACAGATGCAAGCTGGACTGATGCATCGGGGCTTGGATACAGTGACGTAGGCAAAAGGATTTTCGTTCAATTTTGACTTTCATTGAATTTGCTGTTTCTAACCATGTCTTTAACTTTTCGCACTCGAAAGTTACTTCGCTATATATATTTATTATTTTGTAATGAAATATTAATTAAACTATTGATCCTATTAAATAGAAATGATGCACGAAACTATGAGGACAATAGAACTGTTTTATTTTAATATTTTATATCTAATTACAATATATAACGTATGATATTGAATATTGAATTTTATAATTTCGCTATATCAGACCAAATGCCGACGGTCAGTCGCCTTTGTAGTGTAAAGGGATAATCAAAAGCGAAAAATCGTTTTTATATGGTCTTCTCCCCAAAAAATTGTATTTTAACTGTTTGAGATTATCTATTATTCTTCTTGATCATATATTATTATCGTTTATTTACTTCAATATTTTATACAAAAGGATTGTCGATTAATTTTTACCTTCATTCACTTCCCCACCATTATACTCAAGGTTGAAAAGCAGAAGTTTCGTATTTCGTGTTGACACTGGCGTTATCACCATCTCTGGGACTTGAAATGTATCTCATTAGAGTGATTACATTATATGAGATGCTATTTAAAGCAGGTTTAAATTGCACAGGTCAAAGGAATACCTTTAAGAATACGAATTCCAACTTCAGCTACATATAAGTAAACCTCGCGCCTCCATTTCATATTATTCACTCGTCGCAAATAGAATAAAAGTTATCTGATCCTCCATCCACTTTGCAAAATATAAGGTGGTGGTCGAATTCGACTGAAAATCGAAGAAAACGATAATTACCTTTATTATTCCTAAACAACATCGAATTTACTGGAATGTGAAAAGTACAGTCAATCCTCGAATAACAGAGTTAATTTGATTAAATAGTTAAAGATAACAAAAATGTAATGATAATAAACTTGAAAGAAAATATACTATATCTAACCTCGTCATATGAGAGTTGTTGTAATTTTTGATCATGTTATTCGTGTAACTCAAGTATACAATAGAACCTTGATTATCCGATTTAAATAGAGACTCGAGAAGAAATTCTATAAACTATCTTCGCAAAATTCGATCGTATATATCCTAAAGTATAATTTAACCCTTTGCACCCCAAGTTTTTCACTAGAAATATTCAATTTGTTTGTAGATGATCAAAACTTTGAGTGATCTAGAACCCGAGAAACAGTTTCTTGGTTAACATTAAATGTGCCGGTCAAATGATCAATCTTAAAATTTAACTTTACATCAATTTCTATATTGTTCGATTAATCAGTTTTTCAATTTTTGTCTTTCCTTCTGTTTCCGCTCAAGATCTCAGTACGTTTAGTGTTACATATACATACACATGCTACTATTTGAAGATCAATGTTGATCATTTGTTGAAAAATGACTTCTGTTAACCAGTTGACTTGCGTTTGACGAGTATTTATTTTTTCACATAAACATTTACTTCTTCTTTGCTTTGCTTTGGTTTTTCATTAAGATATACCCTAGGTACATTAGCCTTGCGTTTGTCGAATACACATTTCATTTTTTTATTTCATTGTGCACAAAACGAGAAGTTTTTCAAACTAAATTCCACAGTTAACAGGTTAATGTTAATCGAGTTTCCATTGGTACCGTGTCTGAGAATTGCAGTAGGTATGTCCCATTCTTTGATCGTCCGCACCAACAGAATTCGTGGTGA